CGGGATATGTCAACGTCCTTGCCATAAATAAGCTTCACCTGGGAACTCTGAGCTGTTGTTACTGGAAAAGCTGTGTGTGGTGTGTGTCTGTGTGTTCAATGAAGCATTTTGAAAGAAACCCCATTAATCAGTGGATCTTTGCTATCCAGTTCTGTACTGGTTATTCAAATTTTCACTTTTTTCTTAGAGCTATCTGAAATAAGCCTGATCCTACAGAAACTCAGTGACATGTTGTAGAGCTGGAGAAATCACATTTTCCCATACCTTCTGTGTACTTTTATGTATTGGTGGATTTTTTAACATAAGATTAACGATTTATGAGATCAGGGAGAAAAACAAAAGTGAAACAAAATCTTTGATATACATCCCTCGTGCCCTGGAGTAAGCCTCACACCTCTCTGGGACCCACTCACCTCATCTATTAAGTTAAGGGATTGGTCTGGATGCTCTCTGAGGTCCTTCTGAGGATCTTGAAATCTACGTGCATTTCAGGGCCTCTTGCCCACAGGGATGGGGTGTTTGTTTTGCATTTGGACCAGCTGGCACACCTGCAGCCAGAATTCTGCAATGTGGGCAATGCCTGGCCTGGCCCAGAGTGACAGACTGCAGTCAAATACAGAAATCAGCCTGTTCTGTGAAGTGCAGGCTGCATCTGCCCCCTTAGGATCTATTCATTAACTGTGGGTTGTCAGGGATTTGGCCTGTCCACCCTGAGCCCAGTTTGGAGTGGATGAAGAACAGGATGAGCGACTGCTCCCAGAGCAAGTCTGCTGAGCTCAGGGAGAGAACAATGTGCACCCGCTGCAGAATGCTAAAGGACTCCAAACCAAGTCCCTCTTAACCAAAGGACCCATTAAGACGCAGGTCCTAACTACCTCAACAATAAGCATGAGAAATCAACTCAGGAGCACAGTCTTACCGTGACCTGTCTTTTCTATTCATGCCTCAGCTGCAGCCCCAGAGTATCATTCCCTGCTGATTATCATAATGAGCACCTGAGTAGTAATGGGCTGCTAAATTGTTTGTGCACTTGTATATTTTGTGGGGCATCCATTCAAGCACCGGAAGCATCCTCTCCCCTTCCATTCAAGTGGAAAATAACCAGCAGCGAAGGCAGAAGAACACAGGTAATAAATGTTGGCAGGAAGCAAAGGAAAAGGAAAGAGAGAGGAGAGGGGAGGGGAGGAGGGGAGAGGGAGGGAGGAAGGAAGTCCAACAACCCAGACCTCTCTCAGGTTGGCTGCCACAGAGGGCGAGGATTTGCTTGGGAGACCCCCTGTGGGTTTGGTTTGGTTTCAAAGACAGCCTTGTGCAAAGTATGCAAGAGACCATTTGTCTGAGTACAAAGGACACTGGCAGACACAAAGCAAGTGGGACAACAACCGCTGTTTGGGAACAGCGTGCTCTGGAGAGGTCCTATGGAGTGGCCTGGAAAGCTAATGGGCTTTGGGCAGCCTGCCTGACTTGATTCCCAGCTCTGCCTCCGAGTTACTGTAACAGAAAGCTCCATCCCTGTCCCCAATGCCAATCAATGCCAATTTAATAATGAGGACACGGTCTTGAGAAAAAGGAAGGTTTATTGCTTTGCTAGCAAAGGAGAAACACACTCCTGTCCCCAAGTCTGTGACTCTCTCAATCAGGAGGGACATGGGAGGGGCGGGGCTGGGTTGGTTTTAAAGTAACTTCAAAGGTTACATTCCAGGTGTGCTCTGGTAGGGAGCCCCAGGGCACCCTGATGACATGTGAGGATTCACTTGTTGATTTGGGAGATGTTCAGTTCCCAGACCCTGGGCAGGCATCTCCTTCCTGTGGTGGGTGTGTTCCAGGGTGCAATAAAGCCTGAAGGTGTCAGGGGCCTGGCCTTAGCTAAGCAATGCCCCTTCCTACATCCACCCACCTTCGAAGCTGCCGGGTCCTTGCTTGCTCCCCACACAGACAAGGGCTCCGCCCTCTGGAAGCTCCAAATTTCTCCTGATAGTCAAGATGTCATTTCAACAATGATCAAGGGACACCAAAGGAACTAAGGATCATTTGGAAGAAGGCTGCGACAGAACCTGCCAAGAGAAGTCAGGCGGCCTTCCCTGAAGTCTACACTCCTGGAGGAACCATCCCTGCTGCGTAGGGCAGGAGAAGGCCCTTCCGACTGCCTGAGTTCCCCCTGTGAACATTCTCCCTAATGCCCGCCACTACTGCCAAGACCTCTGGATGAACAGCGGGTGCGCATCACCTGACCAGTAGGACCAGGAGCACTGTCTGGCGGGGTGCAGACCCCCTTGGCCGCTGGCCCCCCTATGCTCCCCCAGCTCACTCCAGCAGGACACACACGTTGCCAGGGGCTGGGGGCTGGGGCCAGGTGTCCTTGTGTATGGACCAAAGAGTGGGGACCAGAGGCAGAGGATGGAGAGGGAGTCAAGACCTGGGGGTATCCTGGAGGGCACCAATGTCCATGGCTCCAGGGACAGAGTGGCAGCAGGACACTGGGAGAGCACTGGGGACGAGGCTCCTGTCCTCACCCCACCCCCGAGCAGGAGGAAGATGCTTGAAGGGCAGGAGTAGATGGCAGCAGATGCGCACTTCACCCTAGAGAGCAGCAGGAGGTGCAGCAAGCTTTGCTTGGGGGTGTGCAGGAGCAGGGTGGGTGGCTGGGGCAGTGGGGCAGTGTCCACCGGGGCATGCGTTGGTGTTAAGTCTGGTGCTTTAGGCCACAACGAGGTCAGCCAAGGAAGTGTGCAGCCTTTGGAAGCAGCCAGACAGCCAAGAACTCATACAGCGACCTGCAGCAAGGACAGTAACAGCAAATGCGACAGCTGGGTCCCTAGGCAGTGGCAAGCAGTGGACACAGGATCACATCCCAGTAGGCCAGCGTCCAGGAGTACAGTTGGGCAGAGATGGGGTGCTGCTGCTCTGTGGATGAAAAGGAAGTTGCCCAGGACTCCCTCCACCTTGCAGGAGCAAGCACTCCCCTTGGGTGGGGAGAAGGGTCCTAGCAGCTGTTTCGTAAGAACAAGTCTCTACTCGTCTTCCTTTCCTTCCAGCCCCAGACTTCCCCAGCAAACCCTTTTCTTCTATCTATAATTTAATTACAGAACTTGGGGCACCGACTCTTTATTAATTTCTGGGAAACGGAGGATGTCACATTCTCCAGAAGCCAGCTCTCTCTCTTCTGGTGTGAGAGGCCATAGTGAGGGCCTGGTTTGCTGGCACCGCATGCAGGCCCCAAGAGGACTCCTGTCCTGCACCACACTCCTCTAGGCCTGTGATCCTCCTTAGCTGGGATCAGGGCACCCCCTTTACCAGCAGACATGGGCCCCCAGGGCACCCAGATGGACCCAATTCCTGGCAGCTAAGTCAGGTGGAAGTTGTTGCATTCAGACCAGCTCATCTTGCTTTGGTGCAGCTGCATGGGAGTCTGACTGCTCATTAATAGTCCCTCTCTCAGCCTTGAGAAGACACCACACAGAGAGAGAGAGAGAGAGAGAGAGCGAGAGAGCGCAATGTGGATGCATAGAGACTTAGGGAAAATCAGGTCATCAATGGCGCTGACACACACTCCAGTCTTCTACCTGTGGCCAGCCTTGGGCTTTCTAAAATGAGATCAATGTGCCCTCAGCATCTGTCCTGCAAAGGGCAGTGGCCTCAGGACTGTCATCTGTAGGAGCCTGTTTACAAGCACACTGGCCATGGCCAGGCCACCACATCAGACTATCCTAGGGCACATTATGCTGCAGTACTGTGCCTCTTACCCCAATGACTGGGCCAGCCTCCTAGAGGGAAGAACCAAGGTGACCGAGGTGTTCCAGGCTGAGGACAAATTCCAATACCTGACTTCTAACCCAGAGCTCAAGCTGAAGTCTTTATGTGGATTTTTATTTCCTGAGGGTCTGGGGAAGTGGTGACAGTATAGCTTTCCATGAGTCATTTGATGTCATTCCAGGAGGAGATGGGTTCTGGGACCAGGGGATTCAATCATCAGTAAGTCAAGAAGAGGATTTGTGAGAGTCCAGGGAGGGCGTGGAGGGCCTAAAAGTGGACAGTGTTTGTCCTGTGCTTTTTCTATCTCTGGTTTCTTTATTCCAGCACCAAACATCAAAATGAAACACATTTGACCTTTTGTTGTTAGGCCCCTCTTGAGAGTTGCTCAGTGAGATTCATCAGTTTAAGGGTCCTATGGAGAGTCTGGGCAAACCTCTGCTCTCCACCTTGGCCTGGAGCTTGGCTGTGAAATGACTGTGTGAACCCCCAGACCCCACAGTGGGCAAGAGATGTGCATCCATATGGCCTGACTTCTGCAGTGGGATTAGCCAGGCCTTCTCTCCATTACTCACCTTAGAGAGGCCAAGCAGAAAACAGGTGCTTTAATCCTGTTACCCCTCCTTCACTGGGACAGAAGAGGATTCAGAGAGGTGGTATTTTATAGATAATGTAGAAAGGTAGCAGGAAAAAAAGAGGAGAATAGAGGAATAAAGAATGAGAAGAAAGGAATCAAGTTGAAAGGCAGAGAATGATAATTCAAATCCTGTTAGAAGTACAAAAACTCTGTTATAAAACTAAGACTTGCTGCTTTCAAAAACTGTATGCCAGTCTCTCAATAAATTGGGCCTGTAACTCCATTTCAATCCATATATTGTATCTTTCCAACACTTTAACACTAGTTTATCTTGGCTTACAGGATAAATGGATCCCTTGAAAAGGTGTCCACAGATTCATTTTTAAGTGGTATTTTATATGTACCAGAAACTCTTGTTTATGACTCTGCCAAGAACATTTTGGAATCTTCTAGATCTTATTTGTCAACCTACACATTTGATGTTTTTAGAATTTATCAAGTTATATGTGGAAAATGGGTGACAAAGTGCTAACCTTTAAATAATGCTCCAGATTCATGATGGTATAGAAATTAAGCATGAAATTCTCCACTTTGATTTTGATGGACTGTGGATTTAGGCACATACAATCTTGTGCCATATATTAAAATGCTGGCATTACTCAGGTGGAGAACATGGGGTCACAGAAAACCCAAAATGAACAGTCATCTCTGATGTTACTTGGTTCTGACAAATCTAGATCGAAGAGTATATTTTCCTTGGCATGATTTATCCTTGCTTTGACCTTGGCCATCCTTAGGTTGTAGGTAACTGACTTGGCTTATTATCCCATGGCTGGAGACTGTGCCAATGATTTAATTTTTATTGAGCACGCACAACATATCAAACATAGTACAAGAGCTTTCCATAGCGACTCAACAACACAAGCATCATAGGAAAGACATGAACACATGAAGGTAAATCTTTCAAGGACATACCTTGGGAAACAGAGGTGATTCTGAGGACCTGACCTTTAAATAATGCTTTATGGGGGATAGGCCTTGTGTTCACTCCAGGATCAAGCCACACTCCTGCCTGGGTCCCATTGAAGTAACTTCCTTGCCCTGCATTTGAAAGACTCAATGTTCAGACGTGCAAACCACAGGACAGAGGTGGTAGACTTAGCCTTCCTGAGATAATAAATATGAAAATGAGCTGCTTCCATAAAAGATCAGCCTGAAAATTCATAAGAACAAAAACTCAGGAAGGTTACATCAATGGAATATTGTTACATCTCTTGCAGTTCTTTATCCAGGCAACTGTTGCCAACACATATTGAAACACTCCTCTGCCGATTTAGTGAGATAAATCTATTGATTGACTGCCAAAACTGAGACCTGGGGACAAGGCTTGCAAAGAGGATTACAGAGCCTCTATCAGCCTTGGGCATGGCTGCTGCCAAGTCCCAAGCTGGATCAGTGCCCAAATTTGCTTCTGTCTGACTCCCTGCAGGAACAGCCTGGGTACACATATTAGGTGCTTAGATTAATCAAAATAAATTACGAAATACAATTTTCTACCTACAGTCCTATACGGGTTTCTCCGTAACTCATCTCTGAGAATTTTTTTAATTAAATTAGTCTCAAATAGATGTCACATGTGGTAACAATAATTGCTATTCAGTTACCAATTTTCATAATTTGTAAAGATGTTTATAAACCCAGAATGATTCTCCCACCTCTTTGAGCTCTCCATAAATTCTGTACAAATGTCAAAAACTTTACATTGTAGACATGACAGAAATGGGTGGCAGCTTTTCTAATGATTAATGGGGACTCTTTCTTCTCACAGTTAATATAGACTCAAATTAAGCTAATCGGGGAACATTTTAATTTTTTAACACCCTGACAATGAGAACTTGGAAGAATTTATGGCATATAACTTTAAGGTGCAATTAACCTGAAGTTGATGTTTCTTCCAAACTGGTAAAACTCACAAAGTAGTGCCTCACACAGGATTATGTGAGAACTAGTGATTGAATACCTGTATATTCAAGCAAAAGGATTTCTTTGTGTATGATAAATCAGGTGTTGTCTGAAGAGTTGTATGACATGCAGCTTGCTGTCAAATCCTTAACACCTTTGGCAGTTACAATTGAATCTTCATTTGGATGTTTCTGAGGCTCATTAGAAAAGGGGAATTCTTAAACTGCGTAATATTGGATGCACATCAAAATTACTTCAAGTGCTATAGAAAATGCAGATGCCCAGACATCATCTCGAGTCAATTAGACTCTCTAGGGGTAGGACTTAGACATTGATGTTTTTTCTGAAGGCTCCTAGGTAATACTAGGAGTACCCAGGGCTGAGAAACAGTGATTTAAACCGTACAAGAAAGAGACATTGCAGGTGATGAACACCTGTAATCCCAGTGATTCAGGAGACTGAGAAAGGAGGATCACAAGTTGAAGGCCAGTCTCACAAACTTCCTGGGAAACCTGGGAGATAAGCTCATTTGGGGCAGGGGACACGATGCTATGACAATATGCTATGGCAGTGGGCTACATTATTAGAGCATAGATTCTTCGTCCTCCAATACTTGGACAAGGCTAAGTGGCTTGGTGACATTGCCAGAGGTAACTTCTACCTCCCCTCTTAAACTGCCTAGTTCTTTCTTCAAAGCCAGCTCTTCCCTGCTCTTTCCTGCACAATGAAGAGGCCAACCCTGTAGCTACTAAAGACTCCTCTGGCTGCCTGGCCCAATCACAAATGTGTCCTCTCCTATCATGGTTGACATTGGTCTCAGGATTTAATACTTGTCATCCCAATACCAACCTTTCTCTCCTTGCCTTTCAGAGCACTTCAGCAAGTGAATGAACTCATTTCTGGGAGTTAGAGAACCAAGAGGAGGGGAAGCATTGACTGAGTTGCTGTAGACACTAGTTCGTGCCTCACATACCACAGGGGCTGATCTGACAGCTGGGTATTGAGTATCATTTCCCAAGGCTCCTGCTCTCATGGCCCCAATTGCTGTTCTAACATTCATTATGGAGACCCTTGTCTCAGGGCACTTGTCCTCCTTAACTCTCAGGAGATTAACATGATAATTATCAGCCTGCTACCATGCCCAACAGTCTTCACCTGTTCCCTTAACCCTGGAAGTAATTAGTGAACTGTTGGATCTGTGCATCTTATGGACAGCAGCGTATTTTCCTGTGCTGTCCTTAAGGAAACTTCTCCCAGTCCTTCTATTCAGGGTTGATATGTTCCAAGTGTCTCTAAGGAGCAGGTGCTGAGCAGTCAGACGACAGCTGCTGATGTGTTGCAATTGAGCAATTAGAGAATGCAGGAGAATTGCTGTGGCATACAGTTTACATTGAGCGTTCAGAACACCAATAAAATATTTGAGTGCCTGCCTTGTGGCAAACATTGGGTGCGCACACACACACACACACACACAAACACACACATGCACAATGCCTGTCCTTGTGTCCTTTAGTTATATGTCCCCTTAATGAACTGGACCTTTTTCTCTTTAGCCATCTATTCATTGACTAATCCATCTCATCATTTTAAAATAGTAGTTGAGGAGTAATAACAAAGGACAACAAAAACAAGACTTTTTGAAAGGCAGTTTGTAAGTGGTTTTGTACTATAAACTCAAGTGGTTTTAAAACTAAAATCCTTTTGTGCCTAATGGTCTTATTCAGGAAATGCTGAAATCCTAAGTAAAGAGTTGTAAAACATATTCACCTGAAATCCTGGAGTCAAGGGTTCAAGTTGATGTAAGAATACCAGGCATTATCTCAGCTGAGTCCTTTTAAAAAGGCAAGCTGAAAACCTCTGCCAACCCCAATAGACCATTTGGAATCCCACCCACAGTGTTCCTTAATCACCACTGAGCAAGAGGAAGAGAAAGCAGGGATGAAAACCATGGTTCTAAAACGTTTTCTGACCCCAGAGAAAGGTCTGTTTGTCTTTCCAGGACATAAGGAAGAAATAATAAATCCTCTTCCCTGGCCTCCTACACTGCAAAGCCCACTTAGCATTTTAAAAGACACAAGAACAAGACAGGACGCTAGACAAACAGTCTGGGTTGGAAATTTTTCCCTTGTGTTGGTTTAGCTCTGGAAATAAGGTCTCCAGTCCAACCTTGGAGGCCAGAGAACCTGGAACTCTCCAGCCCAGGCCTGGCACAGGGCATCAGATGATCACGCTGACGGTCATGGTCTGGCCATGGGGTGCGATCTTGCGGGGCCAGGTGAGCAACAGCTTGCGCAGCTCCTCGCGGAAGCTGTCGTGCAGCCAGGCGTAGATGAAGGGGTTGTAGCAGGCAGAGCTCATGGCGAGCCAGTGGCAGAGCAGCTGCACCAGCCCAAAGGCATAGGGGTCGATGGCTTGCGGGTCAAGGTCCCGCATCAGGTTGAAGACATGCAGCGGCAGCCAGCACACGGCGAACACCACCACGACCATCACCAGCAAGCAGAAAGTGCGGCGACGCCGCGCACGGTCCCAGTCCGCCTGGCTCTGGGTCACGCAGCCCGGCACCACGCGGTTCCGAAGCTTCACCGACACCCGGACGTAAGACAGGAGGATGACCAGCAGGGGGAGCAGGTAGGTGACAAGCAGCAGCCCCCAGGCGTAGAGCTGGCGCTGGCGCTCCTGGGAGCCCCAGAACTCCTCGCAGAGGCGCACATCGTGTGGCTTGAGCTCGACGTGGTAGGTGTGCACGGCGGCGGGCAGCGCCAGCACCGCGGACAGCGCCCAGATAGCCAGCACCGCGTAGGCGCTGAGGCGCAGCGAGATGCGCCGGCGCAGCGGGTGCACCAGCACGACGTAACGGTCCACTGCTATGGTGGTAAGTGTGAACACCGACACGTAGACGGTGACCGGCTGCAGGAAAAAGACCAGGTGACACAGACCGCCGCCGAACACCCAGCCGCGTGGCTCGAAGGCGTAGGCCAGCGTGAGCGGCACGCAGGCGGCACACATGAGCACGTCTGACAGGGCCAGGTTGCCGATGAGGAAGTTGGTCACGTTGTGCAGCCGGCGCACTCGCGCAATCACCAGCACCAGCAGGCAATTGCCCACCAGCCCCACGACCACCACGACGCTGTAGAGCAGCACAATCAGCCCCTTCAGCTGATGCACAAGCTGCAGGCTTTGGAATGGCGTGATGGCCTGCGCGCCGGGGCCTGCTGCTGACCCGTTGCCCGGCGAGGCCTCTGTGCTCTGGTTAGCCGGAGTTGTGGCTGCTGCCGGCAGCCCAGAAAACAAGTCAGGGACCCTGGGGTTCCGAGCAGGCAGTGAGGTCATGGCCACCTGTTCGAAGATAATTGAAGTCCGTCACGTTCTGTTCTCCATCCGCCCCTTCTACATCAATCGCGCCAGCCCCTCACCACCCAATTCCTCCCCTTGGAATAATTGGCCACCCAACAACACCAAAATCAATAAAAATTGCAGTCCTTCTTCCTGTTTGAAATAAATCCAAGCGTGATTAGACATGCACGGGTTACTTAAACTATTCCTACTTCATTTATAGCCCTTCAGGTCTACGCAGTCCAGACCCAGGAGCGAGGTCCTACCTGGAGTGGGGCTTGGCGGAGGGGAAAGCGCTCCCAAGAGGAAGGGAGGGGCAGGACCTGCGCTGTCCTCTAGCGGTCCTCCGCCCGCGACGGCAGCCCGGGCTTCTGGCTTCTCCGCCGCGGCTGAACGGATCCAGGGGTTCCCAGTGGGCTCAAAGCTTTTGAGAGGGGCTGGGAGCGCCTCCCCTCCGGCCCGCCCTCCACTCCAGCGCTCCCTTGTATGGAAAATGGGGGCGGGGCGTGCATTTCCCAACTCTGTGCTCAGAGTACTAGTGGGGAGGGCAGTGCCGGAGGACCGAGCCAGAAGTGGGAGGGCCGGCCAGCCGGGGCTGGAGAGGCGCGGGGTAGGCTCGGCTGCGGAGCTTGCCGCGCCACTGAGACTCCCGCACACGAAGAGCGCGAGGGAGACGAGGAGAGGCGGGAGGCGCTGGCTGTCAGGACGACGTGGCGCGGTCTTAAGAGGGAAGGCGCAGGGGAGGGAGTGGGGGTGAGGGTCGAGGTGCACCGGGGAGGTGGGGGAGTCAAGACAGACCTGCCCTTCAGCTCCGGATCTTGCGGAGAGTCCCAGCCAAGGCTGACCAGGGCGCTGGAGGGTTCTGGCAGGGGGTGGCAGCGTGGCGCCCGGAGTTCGTCGCGGAACTTGGGGCTCTCGCCCTACTGCGGACCCACTGAGCCTTGTGCCCAGGCTGCAGCGCGCTTCGCCGGCGCAGGGTCCCTCCAAGCCCGGAAGGCTTCGGCACCACGGACAGCTCCCGCCAGACCGCCTGCTGGTCCTGGAGTGTAGCCCGAGCCCCGCGCCAGAAAACAATTAGGGAAAACCCTCCCTCTAGGAGTCCCAGGCGTCCGGAGAAGGCCTGCTTTAAAGAGCTGCCTCCCTGCTTGCTTTCTGAGCTGGGGCTGCCGACTTAGAAGAGTCGAGGGGATGAAGGAAGACGAGCCTGGTCTCCGGAGGTCGGAGGGTTGGTGACTTGCTCCTTTGCAGATCATCACACATGGGACAACGCCATCTTTTACTTCTCTGAGTCAGAAAATACAGCCCTCTCGACAATTACCTACACAGACACCGTGTCTGGCCCCACCACTCCCTCTCATTTCTCTCATGCTTTCAGCTACAGCGACCTATGCCTTCTCTGCCTGATTTTTCCAGTACAAAATATAAAATTTCTGGACCAGTCGTCCATCCTTTTCCTCCTTGAATAAACGCCCTCCTCGTTTTTTATTTAAGGATAAAAATAATACTAGTAATCGCAGGATTTCTGCATGAATAACAAATGTAATGAACATTTGCAAAAAATAAAATCTTTAGCAGTATTCAGTCGTCATTGAAATGCAAATTTATCTGGACCATAGAGGGTTCATTATCAGGGGAATGGGGCTTTGTAAACTCCTACATCTACTCCATCTCAGCTCTTCTGTCTCTCTCTTCCTTTTTTTCAAAAATAGAGCTTCATTGTCCCCTTTCTGCTAAGTCCTGTGCTTGGTCCTCGAGGCTATAGATATTACTACTCCAGCTAGACTGGAAAGAAATAGCAAATTATTGCACCTTCCAATTCAAGTGAGTCATTCATACAGGAAGAAAAGTCAGTGTTGGGCACAAAACAATCGATTGTAAGCACCTGTGCTCCCTGAGTTACAATTTAGCTAAAGCCAGTGTGAATTTTTTTGAAGCTCCAGATAAGATACAATCTGCACTTGCCTTATCTCTCACTGAGTAATTTTTCCATCATGCTCGCTGGCAGGGTTGTATGTATCTGAAAGCAGAGGTGATGCTTAGTTTCAAAATGCCTTAGGAGAGGAAATTGTGGCAAAGTAGGTAAAAAAGGATTTGGGATGTAGTTAGGCCTCATCACCAGAGCGATTGCTGTGCTCAATACATACATAGTAAAAGTAATCAGAAGAAGATGACAATCAAAAAAAATCGTATTTTGGAATAAAGAACATGTAAATATGGGGGTTTCAAAGTTCAACATTAGCGTACCCTTCGCAGAAGAGAGTGGATCATTTTCCACATTAATGCCCAGACTGTCTTGTGCTAATACTGCTCCAAAAGCCTGAAAGGTCAAAAATAAACAAAGAACCCTGAAGACAAATTAAGGTAATCCTTCTTAGACCACACAGCAAACTAAGGATTTTGTTTTCTCCCACTCTCAAAAAGCTTTGGATGGCCCATCAAACCAAGGCCAGCCCCTGAGCTTGGCATTTCCAACCAGCAGTCCTTGAATTCTGGTGCTCCGTCATGTGTGCGGATGGAGGGCTTCCCCATGCTGTCCAAGTCACTCCCTCTCCTCAGGCCTCACTTGGTTAGCTATTGGCATGCCCTCACCATTTCTGCCCAATAGCTCTCGTAGGGTTTTCTTTTTTAGAATGTTGGCTGCTTTGTCCCACTCTACTCTAGGTGTTCACATCCTTCATACCCTACAAGATCCAACTCCAAGATTACCTTGTTCTCAAAGACTTCTGCCTTTCTGGCTGGGGTTGTGGCTCAGCGGTAGAGCACTCACCTAGCATGTGCAAGGCCCTAAGTTTGATCCTCGGCACCACATAAAAATAAATATTTAAAAAAATAAATATTAAAAAAAGACTTCCACCTTTCATAATTCTTCTGTCCTTTATTACTTTCTACCTTTGAAACTGCAGAAGTGTTTAGCTTCCCTGTCTCCAGCAACACTGACTGTAAACTCTGTAAGGGCCAGAATCAATGTCTTAAAGCACGTTTGTACCTATAATGTGTTACAAACCCAGTCAATACCCAACACATGTTTCTTTTGATTGAACAAATTAAAGTAGCCACCATTTATTGAGGGCTTTATGCATGCTAGGCACTGGGCTAAGTACTTCACATGTATAAATCCCAGGGAAGAGAGTCTATCATTTGCCAAGTTCCAAGCTAAGTCTGGTAAGGGTTCCAAATAATTAAACCATAATAACATAGCCAATAGTCAGAGGGGCTGGAATTTCAGCTTAGATCTGCCTGGTCCTAGAACCAAACCATTCAACTGCTTCACTATACTGCCTATGAGTGAATGACAGATGTACCTTCAAATGGGAGATTCAAACAGGAAAAATGTAGGCTTCTTCAAGGAAAATTAAGTGTAATCCTCCATAGAACTCCAGAAAATTAAGTGGTTTATTAAAGGAAGCTCTAGAAAGCTCAGGTACAACTCTAGCCCTGTTGTGTTTAAGTTAAAATGATCTTTATGTCTCACCCAAAAGACTCCTTGCTTCTATCCCATAGAGGAAACAAAGTTTGGGCCATCTGAATTTCAGATGAAATTCCCATAATCCCTCTTGAAAGGGATTATGGGAGCCTGGTCTCTTCCTCCCCCCCCCCCTCCTGGAAACCTGCTCCACCACATGTTCCCTGTCATGATGTGCTGCCTTGCCACAGGCCCAAAACAACAAGGCCAAGAAGCCATGCACTGAAACTGCAAACCAAAGTGTTTTTCCTCTATATAACTTGGTTGTCTTGGGCATTTTATTACAGTAACAGAGAGCTACCTAACACAAAAACAATAAGCAATGTAATATGGCAAACATTAGATAGAAACAATAGAAGTAAAGACTGGAATTAGGGGCCTGGGAAAGTTGATTAGAGGGATCCAAAAATTTGACACAAGTTAAGTTCATGCTGCTACATTGAAGTTAACCCAAACATCTGAGAAAACACTAGAGATCATCTTTAATACTAGTAGAAGAAAGCAATTATTTAGAACTTGTCTTCTAAGTCCAGGCGGTAATAAGGCAGAAGCTCCCCTAGAAATGTATTTGGTCTTCCAAGCCTGTCCTGTGAGTGTCCCAAGAGCCAGGCACCCTCTTGATTCCTCAGGCTGAGCCATGCTCCAGCTGTAGAAGCCTCTCCCACATGGCAGGGCTAGCTACCTAGGACAGAGAACCACCGCTGACAGGCAGTGTAACAACTGACATAACATCTCAGACAAAAGCAAAGAAAGCACCATGTATTTTTCTAGATGACTTTGAGTAAGTGATTTTTGTCACAGACCCCAGACATACTAATTATATCTGGGATTCTTGATTTCCAGTTCTTCTCAGACTTAAATATCTATTATACCTGTTTCTTTCAAAATCTTTGTGGGTTTTTTTTTTTTTTTTGGTTTAATGGTTTGTACATGAATTACCCACTCAACTAAAATAAGACCTTGAAGTAGCAGCAAGGCATAAGAAAAGAGAGATGCATGCGTGTGCTCCATCCTGATGGGCATATTGAATCAAACCTGGGTGAATGCCACATGCCACCTCTGGATATGTTTCTTTATTACCCAAATTCTTAAAGAAATAAATTCAAAAGACATTCTACAAAAGCACAAGGTTCCCTCCCTCATGCATTGAAAATATAATTGATTTGTAAAATTAAAATAAAATATAGAAAGCTTCTTTAGGCAAAGCATGTGTCATAGTAGGAAAAGAGCTCATCTTCTTGCTATTGTAGTAAGGAAGGTGCCCACACACCTGAGGGACTGGCACCAACACCAAGCTTCCAAAACCACCCCCCAGGAACAAACCTCCACCCACACACTCCTGCCTACGTTGTCACTGCTACTGTCACCTCCACCATTGCCACTTCTGCATTGGAAACTCAGTCTTGCAGCCATTACTGTGTTCCCCAAAGCCAGACACTCATCCGGCAAAAGGAGACCCCAATTTTCTCAAGTGCCTCATTTATCAATATGCTTCACTCATGGACATTTGGGCGGCAGAGCCCAAATCCACCCTTGAGTTCTAACTGCAAAGTATAAGAATTTGGGCTCCACCCTCCACTTTGGTAAGATAATGAGGAATTTTCCCCAACTCTAAGCAGATACTAAATAGCCATAATTAGGATAATTATCCACTATACCCTGTTTTCAGTCTTTAAGAGCAGAGATGCCTATTTCAAAAATCACCCATTGCTACCCTTCCTCCTCAGCTCATCATTTTGAATAAAATCTGAGAAAAACATGATTAAGGATATAAAAGTTTCTATAGATGTATATATATTTCATATTGTATTAACTTAGTTGGCCTTAATATATATGATATTATGTGTTCTTCTTTATGAGAAATAAAGCCCCCAGGGGCTGGGGATATGGCTCAGTTGGTAGAGAGCTTGCCCTGCATGCACAAGGCCCTGG